GTAGGGACCCCAGCAGCCCCAGCACCCCTCCACTGGGGTGTCCCGCCTGTCCCCAGGCAGGGCATAGTCCTTGGGGCCCAGGGCACCATGACGCATGCTTTGATTGTAAGCCCGTCTCTTCTCTGGGCTGGGACCCAAAACCAAAACAACCCGGGTCCTCAGCGATCCTGGTTTGATGGTGACATGGCCCTGGAGGTGACCTGGGCAGGCACACAGGGAACATGCCTGTGGGCCAGGTGTCTGGTAGCCAAGAGCCTGGAGCCCCGCAGCGGAGAATCACGCAGCCCCGAAGGCAGGTGTTCCTCCAGGGAGAAAGAGCATTGCAGACAGAGAGGCAGGTAGCCAGGGCAAGCTATGACTCCTCTAGAAATCACAGGTCCTTGCCCCTGACGAGTGCAAAGTACAAGGAACATGGGGTGGGGGGAGATAAGGCTTGACTCAGGGGCAGGAGCCTGACGTTCACGCAGCTGCTAACGCATTAAGTAGGGAAAACGTCACTGGCCACTACCTTGGATAAAGGCAGTTAGGACCCTCTCATCTCACGCGAGTCATCCACATAGAAATGATGCCCAGATGGTCCCCACTTAACAGGGTGTGATACTGAAAGCATTTGTAAGGAATCCTGAATCTTCAAACTCTAATTCCTGAATATTGAGGCTCCTTAGAGAGTCAACATGCGTTTATTTCAAAAAGGCATTAAATGTCTTCAAAGTTTTGACACGCGCATGCATCCTTTTATTTAAAGTGCCAGGATAAGGAGTTTGGAGTTTGGATCCTGGGAGCAGTGATGGGGGTTGGGGGGCGGTCAGAGATGAGCTTTAGACAGCTTTTCTCGTTAAGGATGACCCTGCGTCCGCAAGGAGAAGGGAAGGTGAGTCAGAGCAGGACTGGAGGAGGGAGGTCTGGAGGCCGCCACATGGTCATGGGCAGACGACCTGAGAGGCTCAGGGCCGAGCGCAGGCCCTGACCAGAGGCGGCAGGAGGTGGGCGAGTCTGTAGGACTTGCTAAGGGGTAGGTCTCACAGGATGGGTGATGGACTGGGTGTGGGGGCTGAGGGAGGCCTCCAGGATGCTTGAGGGGTGTTCATGCCACCACTGAGCTGGGGACATGGGAGGGGAGCTTGGGTTGTCGGGAGGGAGATCCTGAGGTCAGGCTGGGCCCCACGGCATGTCCAGCCCTGCCCAGCACAGTCCCTGGCAGGAGTGGCCTCAACATGGCCACGGGGTGACTGGATGGATGGATGGATGGATGGATGGATGGATGGATGGATGGATGGATGGATGGATGGATGGATGAGGTCCCAGTCTTCCTGGCCTCACAATTCCAGGGAACATCCCTGCATCCAACTTCTTTCCCTCCCCCCGAGTCTGAGCTCCTGGTACCCAGCTATTATTTACCAAGGAATTAATTTGGTTATGCCAAATGTCCCCAGGAATGGCTGGCATGGCCATGTCCCCAGGAATGGCTGGCCTCTCCCTCCCTCTCGTGGCCAGAGGAGGAGGCCCTCCATGCCAGCAGACAGTTCCAATGCCTGGCATGGAAGAAGGGCCAGGTCCAGCCCCAATATGGACTAGAAAGGGCTCTGGTCTGCAAAGATCCCCCAACACTCCCAGGGCACCCCTGGGGCAGTCAGAGTACCTGGTGCCAAGGGTACCTGCTGGGCTCCTCATTTCTCTACCGACCATGTCATGATTAAGATCCCTGCCCCAAGCCTTGCCCCCAGGCCCAGAGTGCTGGAGGGAGTGTGGGGAAGAGTCTGCTGCTCACACTGGCCACTGATGTGGGGAAAGGTCCGAGGAAGCCTGGGCTGGAAGAACACAGCCTTCTGGGCTGGGCACCCAGGCCAGGGCCGGGGGTCGAATGTGGTTATACTCTTGACGAAGATGAGACTGGAACTAGAAGAGACCGGGAAGGAGCAGGCTGTCTGTCCTGGAGAAAGCTGGATGACTAAGTGGAAGAGACCCCAGGACTAGCACAGCCAGGGAGGCCTGGAGGACAGGTTCCCAGGGGACCATGGCTGCCCTGTGAACTCTATAGTGGGGTGGGAGCGCAGCCAAGATCTCCTGGGACAACCCCAGGGAAGACAAGGGTTGGGGTGCAGGAGGCAGGCTGTGCCCCCAGCCCACATGACTGTGACACCCCCTGTTCCCCGACCTGGTCCTCTTCCCATGAGATGCACCCCCATGCTGGCCACTCCCTCCTCCCCGTCCCTCCTGCCTTGCTCCACCGGTTTCCACTTGGGCCTCACCCCCGTTAGACCATGAGCTCCCAGAGGGCAGGAGCCGGCCCACCCTGGGGGCCCAGGAAAGTTTTTAAATAAAAGAAAGCACTGGCACTGGACACACTCGCTTTTCCACCTTTCCTGCGGTCATTTAGGATTGACCAGAGGCCTGGGGGTGTGGGCTAGGGTAGAGAAAGAGAGGAATAGTGAAAGAATGGGGGTGAGAGGGCCCCCAGTGGGATGGGTGGGGACTGTAGAAGCCCTCGATGGAACGGCCCAGGCGGCCCAGTGCCTGTCCCCATCTGCTCTTATAGGATCCACGTCCTGCTCCCAGGCCCCTGGCTCGCACCCGGGCACACCTGCCAGCCCACAGCTCCCCAAGCCTGGGCCACCTCCGCCTGTCGCCTAGCCACAGAAGCCAGACTCCCCGGGCGTGGGCTCCCTCTCCTTCGGGCCCCCATCCCCAGTCTGATGCTGACCTGGGGCCCCAGAGAGGTAGCTGAAGGTCCCAGAGAGGTAGCTGAAGGCAGAGGGGACAGGGTTAGCAGCAGTGTAGACTGCCACAGGCCCAGGCTGCGGGGTTGGACAGGTAGAAAGGCCTGGGAGGCCTCGCCTCAGCAGGGTCCAAAGAGCACAGGTGTGGCTGCCTCGCGCCCGCCTCACGCCGCCTCGCCATAAGTCCTGCCTGCTCCGGGCTTACCTGCTCACAGGGGCTCTGCCTGTGGCCACGAGCAGAGACACCACCACCATCCGGCCGCCAGCACCAGGACACCAGCTGAAACACCAGCCTTGGGGTGTCCGGCCACCAGGCCTCACTGGCGCCCAGGTAAGAACCTGGTTCTCGGGAAGAGTAAGGTCCAGCCCGGCAGCAGGGACCCCAGGGTGGCAGGACAGCGCAGTGGCTGCCTGGGCCAGAGCCTTGGGCCAGAGCCTCGAGCGGGGCTCCCGGCCGGCTGGGAGGGGCCGTCCCTACAAGGGGGCTCAGGTGCTGGCGGGCTGCGAGGAAGCTGGGACAAGGTGCCAGGGCCCCAGGGCTCCTCTGGGCTGCCTCTCCCGGTGGGTGTCCGAGGTATCGAGGTCTGAATACGCCTTGCTCTGAGCCCCTAACTCTGAGGGGTAAACGCCAGCCCACTCCCCGCTCCCCTCTGAGGTCGGTGGTCCCAGGAACCACACGGTGGCTGGTATTGGAGGGGGCAGGGAGCAGGCCTGATAGTAGCCGGCTTACTTTCTCTTCCTCCTCCCTGTGGAAGAGCAGGGAGGAGGGGTGGCTGGAGGAGGCAGTACAGGCTTCCAGCACTCCCCACCTTGGGGAAAGGAAAGGGGTTCCTTTCTTTTGTGCCAGTTCCACAATCCCTTAATTGTTCACTGGCAACTGGTTCCCGCATCCCTTAGTCACCTTATCAGATTGTGTTATTTTCATAACAGTCCTAATAAACAGGGGTGTGGGCTGGGCTCGCGCTTACACTTTGCCCAGGATATTCCAGGGCTCTGGATAAGTCAGGTATACCACAGAGGTGTACCGACACCCACACAGCTGACATCATGATCCAGGTACACCTCATTCAAATAACTGGTAACCTTAGGCCACGCGATCAGCTGACACCCTCCCCTGCCCTGCCATTTCCACACATGCGTTCTAGACTCTCTGGGCCACCAAGGCCCTGGGGACACAGGGGTGGCAGGAGAAGCTGGCCCCAGGACGTCACCGCCTGCTGGCACGCATATAAGACCCTTCAGTGGTGGTTCTGCAGTCAGGTGGGTGTGGGCTCGTCTCTGAAAAGACCTCAGGCCTGTGACCCACTTTGAGCTCACACCCTGCCCGGGTCAACAGAGTAGTAACAGCAGGCTCCAGCAGAGGCTTAACTGACCCAGAAGGTAACATCTGCAAGCAGTGTGCAGCGCAGGGGATCACAAACTACAAGCGGGGTGAGGGGTGACTCGGGAAAGGCGGGGTGGGGCGGTAGTCAAATGAATCCTTGTCCACAAGAGGCTTGGCGCCAGCTCACAGCATTAACCAGCAGCGGTCAGACGGGCATGGAGGAGGGTGGGCCCGACGCCGGGAGGGCGGCTACCTGGGCACAGAGGACAGGGTGGTCCACGAGGGCTTCCTGAGGGGTGCTCCTGGAGCTGGCCAGGAGTGGGCAGGGGGTCTGGACAGAGGACTCAGAGCAAGGAAAACCAGAGAGACAGGCGATTGGGTGAGCTCCAGCAAACGCGGCCACTGACAGGGCCCCAGAGACCATCACAGACCCGAACACCTTCTGAGCGGGTCCCCAACTTCGGAGTCAATGGCAGGCTCCCTCCACTTTGCAGAACGGAGACACGTGGACTAGGGGCTCGCCTTGGCCAGGCACTTAGAGAGCCCAAGGCCGTCCCTGCGGAAGCGGGCACTGCCCTCCCGTCTGCCTCTGTCCCGCTCAGGACCAGGACCGAGCCGGGTCCCAGTGCCTGTCCACACAGCTCTCCTGGGCCCGCTGGGGCCTTCCCGACCTCACTGGCGAAATCAGGGGAGGCCAGGAGCCTGCCTTGGGTGTCCCAGGCCTGTCAAGCGGAGGGTTCCTCAGTGAGGCCACAGTGGGAGACGGCTCCAGGACCCCTAGAGTCAGGGGCTCTGGGTCTGCTCCCCAAGGCCCAGGTCAGAGCCCGGTCCAGGCCAGGGACGGCTGCAGGAGCCTGCCACACCCTGCCCGGTATTCCCCTCCCCAGCCCTGAGGCCTCTCTTTGGTTGGGCTTGGGTTCTAGGGTGACATCTGTGCTCAGCAGCAGACAAACCTCAACATGTCGCGGCCCAGCAGCAAAGCCATCTACCGTAAGTCCTGCACCCCTGCCCTCCCCTGAATGTCCTAGACGCCGAGGTGTCTCCCTCCCCGTGCCGGCTACCCCCTGAAACTGTCGCTATCTCCCCATGTTCTTTGGCCCCATCTCCTGCTTTGTACCCCTGCAGTGAACCGGAAGGAGTACTCACAGAGCCTGATCACAGACCCCAGCCACCTGCAGTATAGGGTGGAGGTGAGTAACAGGGCGCCTTCCCATATGCTGCTGCCCTGCCATAGCCAGGCACCTCAGATGAGTCCCTGCCACAAGGTCCCGGGGGCCCACCCAGCTCTGTCCAGTGACTCGGGCCTAACTGAGCCTCTAAGTGCAAGGACGAAGGAGTGTTCAGTCGGCCCCGCGGGGAAGGCCAGGTGGGGGGTTAGCTGTGTGGGTGTCCTGTCCCCAGGCATGAAGGAGGCTGAGGGCTGGGTCAGGAGCACCCACAAATACCCACCCCGCCCCCACCTGCATCCTGGCCCACTCCCTGCCACACCAGCCCCCAGGGAGCTGTTCTTTGCCCAGACTGTGCCATGGCCAGGCAGGAATGCCCAAGAGGGCACTAAGGGAGCCAGGAGGGGTCAGGCCCAAGCTCCACCTGGAGGAGGAACAGAGACTGGCCCAGACGGCAGGGCCACTTGGAGGCCTCATTGCCTGGAGGGCTGTGGTCACCAGCACGGACTAGAGGGGCCTGGCGGGAAAGCATTCAGCTGACAGGCTCAAGTCACCTGGGAGCAGTCCCAGGGCAGCAGCAGGTTCAGGGCTCTCAGTGGAGAAGCAGGAGGGACTTAGGGTGAGGATCTAGAAAGTCCATGCAGCAACAGAGGCAGGGCGCCCCCGGGCAGCTGGAGGGGAGGGGCGAAGGGCTTCAAGGCAGGACCCGGAGTTGGCAACTAGCTTCCTTTAGGCCCCACAGGTGAGAGCAGATGGAGGCGTGTCCAGGGTGGGGAGAGGGGTGTCCCCCGATGCACGTGCCATGTGGTCACTGTGCAGAGGGCAGAGGGGCAGGATCAAGGGGCAGACAGCAGCCCCCAACAAGGGCCTAGACCAGAGGGGCAAGCAAGACTTGGCCTTGTGAAGGCAGCCTCAGAAGGCAGACCTCAAGAGGGGTCTCCTTGAGGAAGAAGAGTGACAGCATAAGCCTGCAGGAATGGTCACACTAGCGGCCGGCAAGGACCTGCGACCACCGGGCCAGGCAAGAGTCAGGGAGGAGGAGGAGTTTGACCTTCCTGAGAGACCAGGAGGTAAGGGAAAGGCATCCTGTGTGGGGAACAGCGTGAGCCAAGACCAGGTGAGGGCAGTCTGTTCCCAGCGGGAGGAAAGGAAGCCAGGGATAGAAGTGGAGGGTCCTACCTCCGGCCCAGAATCCAGGTTTATTTGTTGGGACTCTGGAGGCCGCACCCATGGATCACTATTCAATGCTCCCACCCGGACTGAAGGTCTTTGCTCCAGAGTCCTAAACCCCCTTGGGTCCAGCAGACCCAAGCCGAGACCCGTCCCAGAGCTTCCTCCGGCCCTCACCTTGAAGGCCTGGGCCTTCCCACACAAGGAGTCCAGGGACACATCTTCCTCCTCACTGCCTTTCCCCCACCCCCTACCCTGTCCACCAACTCTCTAAACATCCCTCCTCTCTAAACTGTTCCCTGTCTGGGCCTCCTCCCCTCAGCACCTGATGACATGTAAGCTGGGGATCCAGAAAATCCAGGAGCCCAAAGATGCCCTGCAGAAGCTTCAGGAAATGGACGCTGAGGGCCGAGTGTGGAGCCAGGACTTGGTCCTGCAGGTCAAAGACGGCTGGCTCCGTCTGCTGGACATCGAGACCAAGGTCAGTGCTGCCCCTTTTCCCACTCCACCCTGGGTCACAGATGACCTAGGCGATAGAACAGCAAGCACCAGGCACTTGAACTCCAGGCCTCCGGGCCTCCAGGCCGGACACAGCCACCCCACATGTGCGACTCACATCCCAGCCTCAGAAGGAAGGGGGCCGGAAGCCCAGAGGCCAGCGGGGTGCCATTGGTGTCAAGCCTCTCAGGGGATTGCAGTGACTCCAGCCAGGGGCTCCTGAAGCCACTGTGACCCTCAGTGACCTCCCAGCTGACTTCTCGCCCCCCTCAGGAGGAGCTGGAATCTTACCGCCTGGACAGCATCCAGGACATCGAAGTGGCGCTCAACACCTGCTCCTACAACTCTGTTCTGTCCGTCACAGTGCAGGAGTCAGGGCTGCCAGGCACCAGCACCATGCTCTTCCAGTGCCACGAAGTGGGGGTGAGTGGCCAGAGGTGGCAGGAACAGGGAAAGAGGGGGTGCGGGGGCCGACAAGCACCTCTCTCTCTCACACTCAACACACACACACACACACACACACGTACATGAACCAGTCTGATCTGCTTGTGTGCTGCTTCCTCCAGGCCGAACGACTGAGGACCAGCCTGCAGAAGGCCCTGGAGGGGGAACGGGAGCAAAGGTAAGCAGGCGCTTCCCCCAGCCCACCTCACAGCCTGGGAGCTTGGGGCTGGCTTGACCAGACCCTGGGCCACTTCTTGGAGGGCCCCACCCACCTGGGCCTGGAACCTGGAAGTTCAAGCTGGGCGCAGTCCACAAATGGGCATGGAGAGGAGGCAGGGTGGGGTGGACTCTGGAGAGAGGTGGTGCTCCCCCAGGATCCTGTGGGCAAAGTCGTTGTCCTCAGAACCCTCAAAGATGTGTCCCCACCATCTATCCCACCAGACCCCAATTTGGAGCGTTCCGCCCTCAGCTGGACAGATGGAGAGCGCCTCCACTAGAAAGGCCAGTTCCTCTGGAGCCAGGATCCTCTCTGGAACGGGGGTCTCCCCGGGAACGGATGCCCCCTCCAGAACAGCCCTACAGGATGAACTCACAGTGGGGCCCCCCCCGGGAACAGATGCCCCCTCCAGAACAGCCCTACAGGATGAAATCACAGTGGGGTAACCCCCCGGAACAGATGTCCCCTCCAGAACAGCCCTACAGGATGAACTCACAGTGGGGTACC